CAGCCAGTGAAACGAAGAAGAAAAAAACCCACAAAGCCGTATTCATGTTAATGCAATCGCTATTGGTTTGATAGGCAGTAAGGATGATGTGAATTCCAGGGGACCAGAAGATCGAGAGTTCATAAAATCCTACTAACCAAGGACTCACACTGTAATAAAACATGTACATCATTGTCAGGACCAAAATTGTCTTCATAATAATTAAATGTTCATCTTGAGTGAGTTCATATATTAAAGAGGTTATACTGCAGTTTCATGTTAGCGTTGAAAGCAAGTGGGCTGTGTAGTTGAACGTGCATCTGCCACTGCTTTGTATTTTGACACCAGTGTAATGTTCTGAAGTGGCAGTTGTAGTCTGTACCTAGCATAATACATCTTAGTGCTAAAATCCTTGTTTCAAGAAAGTCAGTGGCCCTGAAATGAATTTGGGTGGAAATCGCCAAAATTTGTGCTTAGGGGAATTTGGCATGTTGCCAAGATATATTATTAGATTCTTTTTTAGGTACAGGTATACTTAAATGAGGGTTGTAGTGGTGCAGTAGCTAACATGCTACTGTCGTTCAAATCTGCATTGAAGCAGATGGGGGGGGGGGAAGGAGGAACCAAGCTCAATTTCCAATTGACTCATCCTAAAGGGTGTACTGGGAAATGTCCTAAGTAGTCACAGCCTTGGAGCAAAGGCTTCCAGCCAACCCATGACAAGTTCTTTATAGTATTTTTCATGTTTGTTAAAATTTTACACGTGTGCTGGGACAAGTTAGTCATTCTCTTGTCCATTCTTTTGATCATATTGGCTATCTTTACTTCCAAGAGCATTTCCAGAGATGGTCACTTCATATGAAGAGGAACGTAACTAAGTGGACAAGCAACAAAGGAAAACAAACACATTTCAAAACAGCAAATAAATTTTTTACTGCAGAATTAGTTTTTGCACTAAACATGACACAGAATAACCACCCCAGAAAATTCATTAGTCAACAGTTGTGGCTCTAAAATAATAGTGTGAAGTTGTCCAGAAATAACAGAACGTCCTACCTGCTACTTGAGCTTCTTCTTAATCTTCCACATTCACATTTAAAATTGCAGTTTTCACATTGTGTTCTGGTCTACAGCTATTGTCCATTCCAGAAGTCCTGCCAAATGTTTAAAATCTGTAACTCAGTAACCGTTCTGATTAAGTTGTTGAAATTTGGCATGGAACCTATTCTAATCATGTAATTGTTTTTAAAAACAAACAATTTTTTTAATACGTTAAACATCTAGTTTTTTATACTGCCTTATTTAGGGTATATGAAAAAAAGACTGATTCAAAGTTGACAGTAATATGAATAAATTTTGGGGTGACTTTTTGAAATATCTAACTGTATGTGTTTCACTCTTAGGTTATCTCAAGTGTGTCTCCTGTGAATTGCGGATTTTTCACTGAGGATGGAATAAGCTATCAAAATAATCATCACACATTGCAGCACATGTGAACTCATTTCACATGCATGTCAATTACTGTTAATTATTATTTTCGGGGGTTAATAAATTGTTAGTCACAAATAAAGATCAAGGAAATTTGCAGCTTCAAGGAAACGTCATCTACGCAAATGCAAATAACAAGATCATAAGGCCATCTGAACCCTTAAGGCCACATGCAGATATGTATGTTGATCCGCACAGTTTTCAAGATATTTGTTGAAATCCACTATAGACTGATATCTGTGTCATTGCCGCCCAACACATTCCATTTCAGCAAAGCCCTAATCAGTCAACCCAGCCTTGAGTGGGTTCCGGGTGCAGTCACGGGAAGTAAAGGCATCATGCTCACCACCTCACCCATCTTGTGCCGATTGGTTTATAAATATATAGGTCTAGCCCTATATGCCTAAAGGCGTGGGAAAAGTGACTTTTACTTTTTACCTAATTAGTCACCTTTGTGACTCAGAGGACAAATGGGTCTATTTCCCCCACTCACATTGCATCCTGAAACGCACATAAGAAATTACTATAGCTAAATAATAATGTTCAGCAGTGACTGCCTGTGTATATAACAGCATATGCAGGAAGTAATAGCAAATGGAGACAGAAGCAAAGAAAAAAACAGGAAATAAAATACAAATGGTAAGGAGTAAAAAAAAGACATCAGAATAGTAATTCTTTTTAAAGAAAATGAGTTATGTTGGAAAAAAACTTAAAAAGAAGACAAGCTTATAAAGTGTTTAATACTCCAAATAAAATTCTTTCTAGTAAATAATAATGAGGCTGCAGCTTTGAATAGATGTTTCTATCCGGGAAAAGGTAATCATTAGCTTGTGAGCAATAAATATGAACTCTAGAGGTTAACAATAATTTAATGTATGAACTAGTAAGCAGTAACAAAGAAAATATTGAACCAGTAAACAGTAACAAAAACAATGTTCAAGACTGTCATTTAAAAAAAAAAAAAAATTACAAGGACAAACTGAACAACAGCAATTTCATGTAGGGTTACAATTTGCAAAATAAATGTATTAGCTTAAGCCATCTACTAAAAAGCTGTAAATCTGCTCATATAAAAAGCATAAATAAATAAGGCACAAAATTATTTTAAAAAACTCTCTGAAAGACATGATTATATATATAATCTATTAGTTACATATTGCAACAGTGTTGCTCAATCTTTTTACACACATGGCCCAACAAAACTGGAAATTATTTTACAGCCCACCCAACAGCTAACCAAACATGAAACAAAAACAAAAGTAGTTTGTTTAAAGTTAAATCCAATATCATAACATTAACATTTTCAGCTAATGCAACATCTGCTGCTGTTTAGAAGCAAAAGCTTCATGGCATAGAGGCTAACCAATGTGGTTAACAATTTCATGATCCCCGAGTACTGTGGTTCCTTCCCTGCAGTGAATGGGGGGAAATCCATTCTCCTGGTTTTCAGACAGTGGTATGAGTGTCACACCATGGAAGGGATTGAGGTTTCACCTCATAATATTCCTAAGCATTCCTGGCATATTGTAGCCAACCTTTATTGCCCAGGGGAAAAAAAAAAAAACATGTGGCTGGAACAAAGTTTCTGACATACAAAGGGTTATAACAACATCCATTTGATTTCTCCATTTGGCTTTTTCTTACATGTCTGAGTCTCTTTTCAGACAAAAACTCCTTGAGGTGTTAATCCTAAAGACATGACTGTGTGGTGCTTATGAAGAGAAAAGCCAACTAGCCCACCTTGCTGCATGATTAAGCAGAATCATTTTGCTGCCCACACAAACTTTGTGGGCCACATGCTGAGGAACACTCCTTTACAAGACATTGCAAACCAACCCCCCCAGCATTTGTTGACAGTTTTTGGTTTAACTAGATAATTTTACATCAAACAGTTCTCCCTTGCTTTCTTGACAATGTTCTATACCACTGTCAAAATAGTACAAGGTGGACTGCTGCCAATCACCTGCAACTAAATCCAACCAGGTATTTATGAGTTATGAACCGAATTTATAACCCTTAAGTCATAGACACCAGCTTATATAATCTACATAACATTTTCTTTTAAATGTATAGTACTGCATTGCAATTCATTATAAACAATAATCACAAAATGTAATCTCAACCATAGCTAAAAATAATAATACGGGGGGGGGGGGGGGGGGGGGGGGTGAAGGGGCGGGGGGGGGGGGACCAAAGAACAATAAAATGATGGCCTTTCTTGCACTATGGTACCAAAGTATCTATGGGATCTATGTTGTAGAGATCTCCTACCCATCTCCAAGTTCACTTTTGACTGCGAGACCAGTACTGGAATTTTTCAGAAGCATATAAGGATGTAAGCCTCTTTCTTCAGTGAGCAAGATCTGATGTGCGTTTATTCTGGCACCCGGTCACAAACAGAATGGAGAGTTTGAAGTCTTCATTGGCGCTTCATAGTTTGTTTTAAAGGGTCACTTTTGTGGGCCAGGTTTCTGATCTCAGTCTGGTAAAATCAATATTTTAAGATTTGCTATGGAGTTTGCTTGGTGCTCCATAGCATGTAAATAGTTTATGATTCAGTGCTGCACATAGACTGGCTGAGCAGGGGGTGTCTGAAGATAAGAGGATCACCTTCTCTCTCTCTCTCTCTCTCTCCTCTCTCTCTTCTCTCTCTCTATCTCTCTCTCTCTCTCTTCTCTCTCTCTTCTCTCTCGACCTCTCTCTTCTCTTCTCTCTCTCTCTCTTCTCTCTCTCTCCTCTTCTCTCTCTCTCTCTCTCTCTCTCTCTCTCTCTCTCTCTCTCTCTCTCTCTCTCTCTCTCTCTCTTCTCTCTCTCTCTCTCTCTCTCTCTAGCTCTCTCTCTCTCTTCTCTATCTCTCTCTCTATCTCTCTATCTCTCTCTAGAGAGAGAGAGAGATCCTCTCTCTCTCTCTCGCTCTCGATCTCTCTCTCTCTCTATCTCTCTCTCTCTCTTCTCTCTCTCTCTCGCTCTCTCTCTCTCTCTCTCTAGATCTCTCTCTCTCTCTCTCTCTCTCTCTCTCTCTCTCTCTCTCTCTCTCTCTCTCTCTCTCTCTCCTCTCTCTCTCTCTCTCTCTCTCTCGTCTCTCTTCTCTCTCTCTCTCCTCTCTCTCTCTGCAGAAGGGCTCCACACACATCTGGAGCATAAAACAAACTACCTTGTTACGGAGATCCCATGTCTTTTTTTGCACAGCTGTAAATTTAGTAGACTAATTTTCTTTTCTGACACTAAAACCTTAGCCATGCAAGTGGCGCAAATAAACCAGAACACACACATAACCAGAATCTATTGGCAACTTCAGCTGCCAACAACAGGATGAACGTGGTTGAGTTTTTTTTTTTTTTTTAGTACCGTCAGTTAATCAGATAATGAACACATACAGATAGTTTTGATGATTATTTTCATATTCATTTTCAACAGCTTACATTACAATCATTTATAAAGCCAAGTGAGGAAATCTAAATCAGAACTAAAGTAACAGCAGTTAGTTAGTAAGCTAATGTTTCTTCCAATGTTTCCGTAATGCAGCTACAATTTCAGTAGAAGATGACACAAGCAAAATTTTGCAAATAGCCAAAGTTTTCTGCATAATCATCATCACGGATACAGAACTGAATGCTGTCCTTTTCTCCAAAACCTTTTGCACGTGCGCCCATGGAAACTGCCGGTGGATTTTTACACATTGGACCTCTTATAAAAGTAACTTTTTTCAGTGCCTTCTTCATCGCCTTATTGTTAGTGTAACCACTTCTACAACAGCGAATAACCTCCTCCCACTTAGTGTGATCAGATGTAGTGAAGTCCCAGCCATTTTGTTCACTAGCATTGAGCAAATGATTTTCGATTGTGTATACAATTATAGCCTGTTTTCCCTGGCATGCTTTACTCCAGTATTTAGCATTTTCAAATGTTTCTGACAAGTAGAAGCCATCACCACTTGAAAAATCTTGCTGTGTCTTTCCATTTGTTAATATGATACCTTTTCTAACAATTGACATGGCACCCACATGATCAGTTGAGTGATAAAGAAACTGGCGCTTTGTATCTTTTGCTCCTTCTTTCAAGAACACATCAACCAGAGCATTGCCTTCACTTTTCTTTGATGATATGTTAATCATTCTGACATTATGTGTCCTTGTCGAGTCTTCATTGGGTTCATCAGAGTTCTGGGGTAAGGTTATATTAAACCATGTATCCAGTGTGTCTGCATTTTCTGGGTACTTTGGGCAGTTAGAAAGAAGGGGGTGATAAGTAAAAGCGTGATCCAAATAACGTAGTGCCCAGAAGGATGGCTTTTGTAGAGCAATCAAATCATCAGGAATGTTTGAAGAGATTGTCACTGCTGTTTCTTCATTGAAACCAAGATCCTGTAGACATTTCACCAAGCAGTCTGCTCCAGAAAGTTCACTCTGAATCCAGTCTGCTGATTTTTCATTTTCAGCTTTTTCAATAGCCCTTTCAATATAGTATTTCTCTATATGATGTTTGCGCATCTGTATGTCCATTTCAGACAGCCATTTTCCATAATCTTCACTAAGACCTAAAATGGCTGATAAAATAGCTTCACTGCAGGTCTTGAAATCACTATCATATTTCTCAAACAAAGAACAAAGTTCTTTAAACTTCAATGTTCTTTTCATTCTGCAGAGTTTCTCTTTAACTTCTCTGACATCTTCTAGGGTAGGGAGATCTATTGTGGAAGAGAAATCCAATGACCGGGCAGTGTAAACTGCACTTATACAGTCTACAACTTTGGAAAATTCATCAAGACTTTTCTTTAAATCAATGAGTTTCTTGATTTTCCTAGGAAGTGGGTTATCTTTCTTCTGAAGTTCTTTATCAGCAAGAAGCTCTTTCAGTACAACATTTCTCAGCTTGTCGTTGTACATCTTCACCAGCTCTGTCACATACAAAGCCTCCGCATCTGTCTTCACTTCACCACCATGAAGTCTGTGATGCTGTTTTACTTTATTTGTTGCAGCAATGGTGATTGGAACATTGACATGGATTTGTAGAGAAATGTACATGGCTTGTGCAGGTCTAGTATACAGTACTAAGTCTTGGCTAGTGATTTCATGGAGAGCATTCCAGTATGTATGTAGCAGTGGAGCCACTTGCCTAAGATAGTTGTCTGTCATACTGCTGGAAGGCTGCGACACTGCTTCAGACATACGGAAACTCTAGAATAAAATAAACAATAAAATCATATAAATATACATATTGTAAACAATGAAAATCTGTCATTATAAAGTTATATAATCACTCCATCAAGTGTCTTGCTGACTGTGTGATGCTTATGCATCTCCAGCAGCATTTGTGTGTATATATATGTATGTATATATACATATATGTGTGGGTGTTGGTGTGTGTATATATATGTATGTCATATACCTATCATATATGTGTGGGTATTATTTATATATATATATATATATATATATAATATAATATATATATATATAATATATATATATATATATATATATATTATATATATAATACACACACCAACACCCACACCATATAATGTAAAGCGATGATTGATTACTGATTTAAGAATCTACATCCTAGCACATGGGCATACCTATAGGTGCTCCGTCTCCTGCTGCAAATGACGTAAGGTGTAGATGCTTACTGTTTTGGTAGCACACTGATTATTTATACAGGTGCCAATCTCTTCCTTTCATCCGTCCCTCCTTGCCGGATTAACAATTAATTCTTTGTTCACACATTCTTGCCCATGTTATTTGATCTAATCTCATGTCTTCTGCCAAAAGTAATTCATATATGGTCTTCAGAATATCTTCCTTGTCCAATATGAGTGTTCCCGTAGCTTTGGCTTTTGTAGCCAGATAATCCGCTCTTTCATTCCCTTGCACTCCTGCATGCCCCAGACAGTATATTCACGTGATTCCCTGCAATGTTGGCAAACTGATGAAAGTGATGAAATAAAAGAAACGTCTGGACAAAGGTCTGTATCAACAGTTATAAGACAAAAGAAAATGGGAGTATATCAAAAAATGAGAAGAAACACAGAGAGAATAATCAAACAGGCACTGAAATGAGAAACAAATGGACTGAGCAAATAAGGATGTGCAAAAGAAATCCTAAGATGAAAATTGTTGAGAGATGCCAAATCCTGTTGGATTAAATTCTAATAATTAAATGAAAAGCATTGCAAAGGATAGAAAAGAATGAAGGATTAGAGTAAACCCATGGGATGTACAATGGTACAACATGAACATATATGAGTGTGTGCATGCGTGTGTGGACGCATGTGCATGCATACATAGCTCCTTATATTTAAAACAAGTGAAGTAAAAAAGATGGGGACTGTGCTTTAAAAAAAAGTGTCATATGTGGGCAAGAGACAGAATGGTTTGAAGTTTCAACAACAGATCAACATCATGGCACATGGGTAGTATCCCATAAGTGCTCCATTCATCTTCTAACTCAAGTCTGAGTTCAAAGAAGCTCAGCACAGTGAACAGGCGAGGATCCTGAAATACTTTGGGTAGATTTTAACTCCAAATTTGTGACTGGGCAGTGCCGTTAGGCTACTCTTTTTTTATTTCCAGCTGCCAAGAGATTTTTTACATGCTCAACAATGCACACGGGCATCCGATCTCACTACCCAGAAACCAGGGGGAATTACTAGACTTCCAAGTCCACATGAAAAAATCCCAGCCCTTACCGGGGATTGAACCTGGAACCTCTAGCACTCGAGGCGGACACGATGCCTCGAGATACCTTGGAGACAGAATGGAAGAAACCTGTAGTATAAAAAGAAGACCTAGGTCCTAAAATGAGAGACCTTTAGTGTGGAGCTAAAGACAGCCAGTGAGCCATCTGATTTATAAAAATTTAAGTCTCGCTTCATATGCCCAATTCACTACTGGCATCAGAAGGGTTCTTTACTTTAGTGGGGAGATGGCACTTGAGGCTGATGATCATACAAAGCTAATGCTGTGGTCTCAGACTGGTACTGAGTTTTATATATTGATATGGCATTTTTTTCTGGTAGTATGCGACATTATGCAGCACCACTGAAATAGATCAGTACTGCAGTATGGATCAGAAACTAAAATAACTAAACTAATTATTAATAAACTTCAAATATTCATTAACTGGTGCCAGTGCAGGATACAGAGAATTAAATGGTATGACAGAATCTTTATGTTGAGAGAACTCTAAACAGTTTTGGGGTGAAAGAGAACTAACACGACATACACTGAGAAAGACCTCAGAACAATTATAATAGTAATGGACCAATAGGTGAAGAATTAAAAGGAAGATGCTACAGGCATTGGACAGTCGACATACACTGAGACATTAAACCTCAGAATCAGTATTCCACTTAGTGCTTCGAGTCATCACCACCACAGCTATAGGTGTTGATTTCCATAACGCCCGTGGTACTCTGAGTACTTGATTTTGCACTTTGTCTACTTCTGGCAGTGCGTGTGTTTGATGCCAAACTCCATGCTGTTGATCCGTATTCAAAGTAATGGCTACCCTTCTTCTCGCTTTGGTTGCTGCCTTGTTGATGTGTTTTCTACACGCTAACCTATCATCAAACGTTAGTCCGAGGTATGTGGGCTCCCTAACCTCTCTCAGGGGTACCCCATTTATGTGCATGAAGCCTGATTTTTGTTTGGAGAGAGGGTGAAGAGGGTGGTGCTGCATTTGCCTATGTTGATGCTCAGAAACCATTTGTCAACCCATTCAGCCACTGCATCTATGGCTCTTTGTAGCAGTCTAGTAGCCACTGTTGCATGTTCATTTCTACACCATAGCGCCAAGTCATCAGCATACATTGCAGCTTTAATTCCATGGGGTAATTCAGAAACCTGGTCATTTATATAGACTAGAAAGAGTGTGGGGGACAGGAGGGATGCTATGGCACAGCAAGACTTTCTTACTCTTGAGTCCATCTATCTATACTTGGGCTCTTCTGTTATAGTTATACAAGTATGCTTTCACCCGTTTGTACATACTCCCATTCACCCTACAGTCTCTCAGTTTCTTCAGTAGACATTCTTTCCAGACCTTGTTGAAGGCTTTCTTTAGATCTATCCATGCCGCTAGCACCAGCTTCTTTTCCTGTAATGCATCCTCAATTTCTTGCAAAAGATAAGTTGTCTGATCTTCTGTGGAGTAGCACTGTCTAAATCCTGCCTGATGCGGCATGAAAATGTTTTCACTTTCCAAGTACCATTGGAGCCTAATGATATGTCCCGATGTCTTACAGAGGCAACTGGTAAGACTGATCGGTCTATAGCTGGGGGCATCGGAACTGTCTTTTCCTGGTTTAAGGATAGGTATTGTGATTGCATCTCTCCATATCTGGGGAACTTTGCTACTGGTCCGGCAATGATTAAAGATCTGTAGCAGCTTTATTTTGGCGGTTGTTCCAAGGTTCTTGATCTTTTCCTGTGTTATATATATATATATATATATATATATATATATATATATATATATATATATATATATATATATATATATATTATATATATATATACATATATATATATATATAATATATATTATATATATATATATATATATATATATATATATATATATATATATACATTCATATATATATATATATATATATATATATATATACATACATATATATATATATATATATATATATATATATATATATATATATATATATATATATATATATATATATATACATACATATATATATATATATATATATATATATATAAATATATATATATTATATATATATATATATATATATATATATATATATATATATATATATATATATATATATATATATATACATATAAAACAAACTGTAAACCGTTATATTTGTCAGATGTCAAGTTGGTTTCATTTTCACTTCAACTTCAATGGTAGTAACTATTATAGCGCCACATTTACTGTTTCTGCATTATTACGAAATATTTTATTTTAAATTAATAAATAAATGTTGAAATACATGTCATTAGATTTTACTGTGGGAGTATCATATAAATATACATCAAATTGCTGCTAAGTCAAATATCCCAATATGTTTATAACACATATACACTAAACAAAAACCATTTCTCACCTTCCAGGAAACTAAGCCAATACTGCTCGTGAAGCAGCACAGTGTTGCCACTTTTCTTTCACAAAAAACACACAGAAAGGAGTTAACAAATATTTAAAAACATCTAAATTTGCGCGGAAAACATTTAGAAAAACCATCTAAATGGAAAAAAGTCACAAATTTACTCTATAGAATCATGTCCTTATCTTCACTGATGTCTGCCTCACACGATCTACAGGATAAACTTAGCTTGGATAATGAACTTGAAGCTTCAGATCCAAAATGACTCTGGTGTGCTTTAGCAGTTCCAATTTCTTTTAATACACTGTCAGGGAGTTGATAAGTGGAACAGCATTTTCCCAGGTCCGGCTGTATATAAATAGAGAAGGCCGTGCATTTTCCTACCCTCATTAGACCGAATTTTATTTTCAAGATAGCATTTAAGAGGTCAAATTTTATCCTGTTTCTTAAGTTAGATTTGATATAATTCATAGCACTGAAAACTCTTCCTACGCCAGCATTTCAGTGGGGTAATATCATGGCAGACATGAAACATTTAAAGATCTTACGGAATGGACTGTTTGATGAGGCATCTTTAAATTGTCTCACTTCACTCAAAAACGCTTGTTTCTGTTTTGTTTGTCCATTCAACTAAGTTTATTTTGGTTTACTGATATTCTGCTTCCACAGAATCAGTAGACCCTAAACATTTCATAACTTTGCAAATATTTAGGTATGTTTTTTTACTGGCTGAAGTATGTTGCTCACAGAAAAGCGAGAAATTTTTTTCAATACATCTAGATTTTCAGGAAGCTCCTACGGTTGAAACAAAGTTAGAATGATTTACGCGCGCTTTTAATTAAATAGAACCCGGGCTGCCAGATATTTGAGCGTTGACCCCAGTGAGAGGTCAAAGTTCAAGTAATCGCAATTGTCACAATGTATTAC